CAGGACTGCCTTGCGGGCCGCGTGCGAGAGGGACTCTCGGGAGGCCCTGGGGCGCCGCACCCACTCCCTCTGGCCAGTGTGGACCTCCCAGGCCCCCTCGCGGATCTCTCCAGAGCAGAAGCCCCGCCTTGGGCCGCCGCTCTCACACCTGCCGTGGGTCCGGTACACGCCCCTGTGTCGGACTCCGCGCTCGCACGCGTAGGAGGAAGCCAGGACTCCCGGGCGACCGGGCCGTGCCTGTGGTTTGTATCAGTTCCACAGCAGCACGTGGGCCCTTTCCACTGTCAGCCACTGGGCAGCCCGGGGCACTCCTGCAGCGTCCCCAGGCCCTCTCCAGGGCAGGGGAAGGTTGGGCAGTCCCGGGCGGCCAGCACAGCGACGTGCATGTCTCCTGAGCAGCTGCCCATCGGGCCTCTGCTGGCCTGGCGGCTCCAAGATGCAAGACCGGCAGGAGCCGGGGGGAGAGCCTTTGAGTGACCTCCGGGAGGAAGCAGCCAGCGCTTCCCTCCGAGTGGCACCTGAGAGGCTAAGTGATGCCAGTTTGGAATGGATACGGACCTGCCCCGACCTTCTCCTGTCCGATGGGGAAGCCAGCATCTCCCTGCCCCGTGAGGGCGGTTCCACCTGCGTTACCCGATATCCTGACCCTGGGGAACACAGCAGCACTTGGGGGGAGTTTGAAGGCTTTCGGGAATCTTCAGCCAAGTCTGGACAATTCTCACAGTCCCTTGAACTCCTGGAGAGACCCACAGAACCCCAGCCACCAAGAACCACTTCTGCCCCAAAGGAGTGCAGTTCTCACCAACCGTGCCAGGGTGGACCTTGGGTGACAGGAACTGCTGCCGTCCCACCTTCTGAGGTACTTCTGCCGTGCTGTGGTCACCATGTTGAGTGGGATATGTGTACACACCAAGAGGCCTGCAGCCCTCGAATGTTGTGGCGTGCTGGCCAGGGAGGGGGCTGAGAGCCTCGGAGAGTCTGCTGCTCTCCTGGCCTTCGTCCCTGGCCATGTGGTTGGCTGTCCCATCCTGAGGCCAGGGAAGGAATGAGTTGGCAGAGGAAGCTGCAGAAATGGGTCACACCAAGGCCAGGTGGGGGCCACCTGAGCTGGGTCACTCTCTCTGACCATTCCTCCCCCGGCCTGTCCACTCCCCATTGGCGGGGGCTGCACTGGTCCCAGCTCAGGGCATTTGAGGAGGAGCTTTTTGTCTGAATTCTTAATCTGCTGAGTTTAGAAGTCTCAGAGCTTCTAAAATCACATGATCACATTTCAACTTTCTTGTAATGAATTGGGTGACGCCCGATCCAACCTGTCCGGGAGCTTGTAATGAATTGGGTGATGCCCAGTCCGACCTGTCCGGGAGCCAGGGTCCCAGCCCTCAGCCCCCTGCCCCCTGCTCTTTCAGAGCAGACTGCCGGGTGTTTACTGTTTGGTGACGCTTCCGCTCCTTCTCTTTTCCTGTCTTCTTCCTTCCATTGTTCCTCTTTTTCTGCCACCTTCCCAAATGGTTCATCCCAAACACCATCATGAGAGATAAGGAATAAAACCAGTGAGAAAGGAAATAAAGATATTTAGGTTCTCAGGGCTGGACTGTTTGTTTTCTAAAGCAGTTTCCCTGGAATCCTGATGAGATCCAGTCTTAATAGAGTAAGGTCTGCTGTAATGCTTGTTTTGAATACAGGATTTGTTTTCCAGCATAGTTGATGTATTAGGGTACAATTTGAGCATAGTTGAAATTTCACAAGAAAGAGTAGATGAATGCAAAAAACTGCCCCCAGCTGAGCTGGGGCCGGTTGGAATACATGAGACTCGCACACGCACACCCTCACACAACGCTCAGCGCCCCGACATAGCACACCTGTCAACACCTGGTGTTAGGACCTCTCCCAGTTCAGACCGCCCTCCTCCCACCCCTTCACACTAACTCAGCCTGCGAGTCTTCATCTTTTCCAAGGTAAAGTGCTGTGCTTATTGTAGTATGTATAATTTCTTTTTTTTTTTTTTTTTTTTGAGATGGAGTCTCACTCTGTCACCCAGGCTGGAGTGCAGTGGCGCGATCTCGGCTCCCTGCAACCTCCGCCTCCTGGGTTCAAGCAATTCTCCTGCCTCAGCCTCCTAAGTAGCTGGAATTACAGGCACACACCACCATGCCCAGCTAATTTTTGCATTTTTAGTAGAGACGGGGTTTCACCATGTTGGCCAGCCTGGTCTTGAACTCCTGACCTCGCGATCCACCCACCTGGGCCTCCCAGAGTGCTGGAATTACAGGCGTGAGCCACCGCGCCTGGCCACATGTATAATTTCTTAACCAAACATGGAAAACAGAACTAACATTATTGGGTGACCATCTTTTTTCATGTGTCACTGACGAAGTTTGAATGTTTTGCCCTAACCCCACCTTTCCCATGAGTCCTCTGGTTTTGTGTGATTTTGCTAACATGGTGATTTTTAGGAATGAATATGTCGAGTGATAGTAACACTAATGGTATGCTCAATTACAAATTTCATTTCCATTACAGTTATTTCTTTGGAATAAGGTAACGTTATGTGTGTCTTTCTCCTAACTTTGGTATGCTTTTGTTCTTTCAGTCCATTCTCAGCTATGAGAACATTTTAAAGTGTGCTTTTCAAGAAGTAACAGTCCAGCAGGCAGCTGAAGACGTTTCCACCATAGACCATTTCCTAGAAATAAGCAGTGAAGAAAAACCTGGCCTTGAATGTGTACATAAATTGTGGTAATGAACTTCAATATTTCTTACAGCAACTGCATTTGTACTTTTGTTTGATAAAAGCAGGTGTGTGAGGCTTTGTTTTTGCCTTTATAGAGAGTAGCATCTCTCCCGAAGTCCCTGCCGTCTGTGGGTCATGGGGTCCTATGAGAAGCAGGCAGCACGATCGCTCCAGCTGTGGCCTTCCACTCGGAGCCCTGTTCATCCCCCTCCCCCACCCGCTCACCTGGAGCAGTTGGACCCGAGCCCAGCTCCCCTTGGGTCTCAGTGCAGTGCTGGTGGAGTAGGTGAGGGGCTCGCACTCAGTGCGAGTGGCTGGTGGGCCTGAGCAGTGGGCACAGGGGCTTTCTGGGGGACTTGGCTGAGTGGACCCTGGCTGCCTCGTGGTCCTCAGCCACAGAGTTCTAGAAAACAGTCCACACTCTGGAGCCCCATTGTCAGCCCCAGGCCCCAGCCCCAGGGGTGCTCCCAGTGCTGCCTGCAGGGCTGTGGGCTTCCAGGGGAAAGTACACCCGCAGTCGCTCGCAGATGGCCATTTTTCAGGGACACACTTTCAACTAAGCATTGAAAGACAAACAGTGCTCTAGCGGATTAGGCAGCAGTGGTTGAGAAGCTCAAGGTAAGTTGGCCCAAGGCCCCAGAGGGAGGAGGGAAGTGAAGGTTGGGGAGAGCTAGCTTCCGTGCCCCTCGGTGTGGTCTGTGGAGTGGGTCTCCCAGCAGCCAGGGGAGAGCCAGGTCAGCCTGCTGATTTGTGTGTCTCTGAGCAGGCCTGGACTTTCAGAGAGCTCTGCAGACAGGCCATTCTGGGCTCCAGCCCAGCCCACTGTGGCCTCTACTGGGGTCCAACCCAGCACCTGCCCCAGGGTACCCTCCACAGGGGCTTGAGGACAGAAGCCTGGAGCCCAGAAGGCCACAACCAGCATTGCCCAGATGGCCAGTATACCCTCTGTATGTGGTACTTCTGCCAAGCATGATCCCTGGGGAAAAACTGCCAAGAATGTGGTCCCAGCAAGCTGATGGTGGGGGTGGGCACTGTGCTGGCAGTATTGACGTCTCTGTCCCCGGCAGCATGACTCTTGGACCCAGAGGCGTGGGGAGTCCTGGGTGTCAGGACTTGGCAGGGCTGGACACTCGTGGAACAGAAGGCTGGATGGTACTTTGGGGGTGGAGTAGAGCATGGTTTGTGTGTTCTGAAACACTGGGGTATTTTTTGGAAATGGTTTGGCGTTTAGCACATCTGCTATTATTCTGTAGTTATCTGGAGTGCAGTGGCGCAATCTCAGCTCACTGCAACCTCCGCCTCCTAGGTTCAAGCAATCCTCCTGCCTCAGTCTCCTGAGTACTGGGACTCCAGGCACCTGACACCACTCCCAGCTAATTTTTGTATTTTTTATAGAGACAGGGTTTTGCTATGTTGCTCAGGCTGGTCTCGAACTCCTGAGCTCAAGTGATTTGCCCTCCTCGGTCTCCCAGAGTGCTGGGTTTACAGGTGCGAGCTGCCGCACCTGGCCTTGTACTCATTTTCCCTTCTCTACTAGAGCATGAACTTCCTACAGGCAGACCTTCTCAGTCCCTCATAGTACATAGCAGTGACGTGGCACATAGTAGACATTCACCGTTGGTTTGTTCATCTGTTCTCCTAAGCATGCATTGGTACTCTTGGTTCGTGAGCATCTATTTTGTACTCAGCACAGTTCTAGGCACTTGAGTGAACAAAACCAGCAAAATACCTGGCCTCATGGAGCTTCCACTCCTTGGAGGAGACAGTCAGTAGTGGCAGTGAGTAAGCTACTCCAGGCCAGGTGCTGTGAGGCATAGAGGGGGCACGGGAGGTGGGTTGGGGTACTGCAGGATGGCACGTGTTGTTTGAATAAAAGTATAAATGGACAAATAAACGAGGCAGGCCAGTGCTCCTGCAGGGAACACTGTTACTATTATTTTTTTTTAATTTATTTTTGAGATGGAGTCTCACTCTGTTGCCCAGGCTGGAGTGCAGTGGTGCAATCTCCACTCCCTGCAACCTCCGCCTCCCGGGTTCAAGCGATTCTCCTGCCTCAGCCTCCCCAGTAGCTGGGATTACAGGCGCCCATATTTGTATTTTTAGTAGAGATGGGGTTTCACTATGTTGGCCAGGCAGATCTTGAACTCCTGACCTCGTGATCTGCCTGCCTCGGCATCCCAAAGTGCTGGGATTACAGGCATGAGCCACCATGCCCAGCCCGGGAATGCTGTTTTTAGAGTTCTTAACAGAACTCTCGTGAGTCTCGGCTTGGGGGTAAAGGGCAGGCGCCCCGTTGTGTGCCTCGGGCAGTGCTTCAGTGGTCTCCTCAGAAGGCTTTCAAGGTCACCTTTTAACAATTGCATCTGTTTTCCAGTAATGAATCCAGAAAACTCTGGAGAGCCCTTCAGAGCAAACATACCACGTCTACTTCTCAATGCCTCTGGAGCGAGTCCCATTGCCAGGAGAACTTCCTTCTTGTTCTCGGAATAGATGCTACGCAGAAGGTAGGTCGTTTGGGTTGACACAGGGCTCCTGAGAGCGTGGTTGAACTTCACTGTAGCCAGTGGCCCTTGGCCGCGCCCAAGGGGTGGGTGTAGGCAGAAGTGTGGGGTCAGATGGGTTAAAGCCACTAGGTGGCCCCATAAACTTGTCAAGGCCATTGGATGAATCCCAAATGCTTGAGGCAGGAGCCAGCAAAGCCTAGAGCAGGAGGTAAGGAAAGGCTCTGGAAAGGCCTGAGCCCGCACCTGACAAAGCACACAGAGATGTGCATCAGTGCACACACACTGCCACACACACACCGCCACACACTGCCGTGCGCACACACCACCATGCCCACACCACACACACTGCCACACGCACGCCACTGCTGCTGTGCGCACACACCGCCGCACGCACCACTGCCACGCACAGACTGCAGACTGCCGTGCATGTGCTCAAGCTCCTGGGCTGTGACCGAAAACACCAGTCACAGGGAGGGCCGCCTTTCAGCAATCTAGATTTCAAGGATCTTTCTTCATTCTTAAATATTATGGAAAATTTCAAACATGGAAAACTCAAAAACGGCCAGCCAGGCAGGCAGATTGGCCCTGGTGCAGACAGGGGCATGAAAACGGTTGCCCTGTTGGCCCGTGGGCCACATTGGGCTGGCCAGGAAGGAAGTGAAGGGCAGAAAGGAACAGAGGTTCCCAGTGAGATCAGCCCTGACTGTGTCATTGTGAGGAAAACGGAGAACCAGGAGGCTAGGAAATGGGAGCCTGAATAGAAGGCTCAGAGATGGGCCAGCTCCGAGTGGCAGCAGCGTGGAGGGTGTGTCTGAAAGTGGCCGTGAAGGTGTTATTCCCGCTGAGCAGCTGAGGGGTGCTGAGGTCCTGAAGGGAAGCGAGGCCTGTGAGCCGGGGATGGGGCAGCGAGTGGCAGGGCTAGGGGAAACGGGTGACCTGACCTGCAGAGGGGCCTGAGAGAACTTTGCAGTTTTAGAATGAAATTAGTAGAAGGGCTCCGGGGAAAAGAAAACAGGAGACAAAATGATGCCTGTACTGGCCGTCTGATGGGGTCTGTCTCCTTAGAACCTTTCTGGAGGCCAGGGCCCCATCATGGAAGATTGTGACCTCAGAGAGCCTGAAGGGCTCCTCGCTGTCGGCAGCTTCCGTCTCCAGCATTGTAAAGCCCTGATCCAGACCAAGGTGAGTGGTCACCAAGGAGAGGCCTCGGGGAACCGCGCTCGTGGTGTCCACACATGCGGAGGCCTCTGCTTTCTCTGATGTGAGTCAGTTGCTTGTTTTATTCCGTTGAGTCTTGTGAACTTACAGAAAACAAACGTTGCTACTGTTTAGGGCAGACAGGCAAATTGTTAACACCACTGCAGGGTGCCAAGGAATAGAAATATCATCCAGAAAGACTCTTAGGCCAGAGGACCCAGGATATGGGTGGGTCACACAGGAGAACTGGCAGGAGAAGCCAGGCAGAGAAGGAGCTGCAGGGAAGCTGAGATGCCAGGTGTGGATGATGAGGCTGGAAGGATGAGGCGGGACCAGGCTGTGACTGTTGGGCCGGGGATGTGACTCCGCCTGGGCAGCTGTCATGGACTGATCTGACTGGCGGCCTCAGTCACAGGCCGCTTACCTTACACAGGGTCTGCCCACAGCTTTCTCATGAGCTGCGGTTCTTGCCGCAGAGTCACTTCATCACATCATCACAGCCGGGCTCGCGGCAGAGGGGATGGGGAGAGAAGGGGACTTCTTCCTGCAGCTCTCTTTTATCAGGGGGAAGAAAAGCTTTTCTGGGCTGGAGTCTGGAGCCCACTCTTAGAGCAGGTATTGCAGGAGGGGTGAGATGGCCAGGCCTAGCTCACCTGGTTTCCTCTCATCCTGGAGACCCAGGACCCTGGAACAGTCGGGGCTCATTGTGTACACCCAGGAGATGGTGGGAGGGACACATGGGCAGCCATCTGCATGAAGAGTGACATGCAGGGAGGCGCAGGGGTAAAGTACTGCCCTGTGGTCTGGTAGAAGGTGACAAGGACCTGAGCCTGAGCTGGGACAGCAGGAAGGTTGCATAGCAGAGGAGGCAGCCAGGGTCAGCTTCTGGGCTAGAATTTGGCATGAATGTGGCACTGCCCCCAGCTGACGTGGGGTGGGTGCCCTGAGTGGTCAGCAGACAGGTGACAGGTGACAGGTGCCATGGTGCAACAGAAGAGGGCCCTCATCGGCCGTCTTCACAGGCTGTCCATCTTTTTGAAAAACACCCCAGCACAGGAGGGTTGTCCTAGAGCAGCAGGCCATGAAGACATGTTCGTGGCTGTGTTGTTCACAGCAGCCCATGCTGGGGCAGACATCCAGCCACAGCTGTTTGGGGGAAGTCTGTGGTGTCGTCCAAGAGTGGCCACTGCAGGGCTGTGAGTGTGCAGGGTAGTGACAGCCTCCACCAAGGAGTGCCAGACACGCAGCACAAGGGCCAGAGACCCCTCCTAAGATGTGGGCCCACTGCTGTCTTCGGGGCTGGCTGCAGGCCAGAGCCACAGACTCAATCATGAGAAGCCCCAGCATGTTTTCCCTGTGCGCCTCTCTGGTGACACCTCATGATGAGAAGGTTTCTAAGAGGAGAACCAAGGAGAGAACACTAGGGGGCCGAGAGGCCGGGGCGGCCAGGGGCAAACGCCCAAGCTAGCGTTTCTCATTGCCGGGGGTGCGCGTGCCTGACTGCTGTCCTCTCATCTCAGCTCTCGGGGCCGCCTGGCAGCAGACAGGGGAGGCTGATGACATGCAGCCGCTTCCTGAAGACCCCCTCATGCGGAGGTGGCCAGCACATCACTATTCCAAGGAAAAAGATGTTCACTCCACGCAAGCTCAAATTGACACTCTTTAATAGCGACGTTTGCTAAAATCAGGAGTACTTTGTACCTTTATGAGGAATTTTTCATTTTCTTCCTGGTTGGGTTGATGTGGAAACCAGAACTGTCTGTGGAGCTGTTTTCCAGATCCCAGGCCCATTCCTGGGATCTCTCCAACGGGACCTGTCCTGTGCTCTGGGCTCATCTCAGGTCTGACCAGGAGATGGAGGATGTGTCCTTGGCAGAGCCAGTCCTTGTGGGGAAACAGAGGTTTCTGGGTGCCATGGCAGGCTGTCGGGGTCCAGGTGGCACCCATGGGCCCCCTGCCCCATGTGAATGCTTCTGGCACCTGGCGGGGGTACCCAGGGATGGACCCTGGGCATGGCTTCTGGGCTGCTTAGTCCGGGGGAACAACTTGTGGTCCAATCCGTGAGTTCAGAGGAAAAGGGGAAGGCGCTGAAATGTCACCAGAGAGACAGCTGTTGAGAGTGCTCAGAAACCCTCTAGCTGTCACACTCTGCCCTGGCCCTGGCTGCCATGTGGTCAGGGCACCATGAGGGTGTGCAGGTGTGCAGTTTCCTCAAAGCCTCGCAGGTGCCCTCACTCACTGCCCGGGCCTCTGCCCAGCCGCCTCAAGGACAGGCCTTTCTCCCTCATGGTTGTGGACAGGAAGTCACACCACTGGCCTGCAAGAGGTTCTGGTGGGCCCATGGCTTCCCCTAATTATCTGCTAAGGAAAACCGTGCTCTTCGAACGGCAGAGCTAAGAAGTCAGCCCTGACTTTTGTAAAATTTTATGAAATAAAACCGCCTAGATAAGCCTGTTCTCACTGCTTCATCAGCTGGGGGGACTGATACCTGAAATCCTGTCCCCTCCTGAAGTCTAAGAAAGCAGCCACCCTGGCTGTCTCTGTTCCAGCCAAGGCCACACGGGGAACCACAGCCCCCATGTCGCCGTGGTTATCAGTGGGATGTGCGCAGTGATGGGCAGGAGGTTCCATCATAAGGGAGGAGGAAGCGGATGTCCCTGCACACACCGTGGCCTCGGCCACCCAGCTGCACAGCCAGCACCATGCTGCATGTGACTTTAGGTCTGCGATGAGGATCATTCCTTTTTGTTTGTTTTTGGATATCACATGGTTTGGAAAGCTGTTTTTATTTTTCATTTTCAGCCAGGTGAAACTGGGAATTTAGACTTTTTCTAACACGCAGCTTCCTTCAAAGGCACTGTCTTTTGGGCCCCTTTACAAAGCCCTTCCAGGAGATGCCCTGGTTTCCTAACCTTTAAAAGTTAGACTTTAACAAGCCGAAATATTCCATCCTGCTCCTTCCATTCCAAGATTTGGGTTCAGACTGTGCCACGGCATCACGCTGTCACCCATGGTGGCCCTTGCTCCTCACCTGGCTGGATGTTGGTGACCCACAGACCTCAGAAGGCCAAGCCTTTCTCCTGACCTCCCTGTGGCCTTACAGGAGCCTCAGAAGCAACAGGTTCCAAACCTGACTTCTGTGGTGCCCGGTAGAGAAGAGAGGCCCTGCTGCTCTTGTCCCCAGAGACGAGTGAGAGGAGTGAGAGGAGGACCTTCACAGGGTCAGGTAAGGAGGGACCAGGCAACATGCATGCAAACCGCTTGCCCGCTGTGCAGCTGCCAAGCCCCCAGGGTCTGGAGGACCCTGCAACAGACAGGTTCAAAGCTCCCCGGCCCGCTCAGGTCCACGCTGAGCGCTCAGGAAGAAAGTGCCACAGCTGGGAGTGGGGGCAGGGAGCTGACAGACACTCCCCCAAGAACGCCCCTCTCACAGACGTGCTGGGATTTTTGTTCCCAAAGTCCGGAGGCCCAGCAGGGGAGCTGGGAGAGTGGGCGGGAGGCAAGCCCCCAAAGGCTGAGGAAGAGGCAGCAGGGCTGCAAGACGCCCCCGGGCACCAGGCAAGGGGCTGGAATGGAGAGCAAAGGAAGCCCCCAGTGGCCAAAAAGGACGGCAGTCCAGCTGAAGAACAGAGAAATCATGCAGCCCCCAAAGCCGGTGGCTTGGCTGTGACACACAGGCTGATGTCCACAATCACTGTGCTCAGACCCCACCGAAGCCGTGCCCTGATCCACCCTCAGGGCATCTGAAGGCCTAACTACAGCTGCAGAGAAGTCCAGAACCAGCTCAACTGCAGGAAAGGACAACTCCGTGCCCACTCGGGCAGCCTCTCAGCGGAAGGCACGTGCCCCTCACGGGAAATAAACATTGCTTCAGCCTCTATTGTTCTTTTATACGAACTGTCTAGCCTACAATAAGACATTACAAGACACATGAAAAGGCAAGAAAACGTGAGCCACAGTGAGCAGCAGAAGCAGAGACAGCCCCAGTGGTAAAACTGAAGTCAAGGGCTTTGAAGGAACTCTGGGGAGGTGGGGAGGGCCTGTGGAAATAGCAGGTGACATTCACGAAGTGATAGAGACGTTCAGCAGAAACAGGGACACTTCAGAAAAGAACAAAATGAAGATGCTAGAAATGAAAAAATAGTATATAAATGAATCATCTTTAGATGGGTTTAACAGCAGACTGGACACCACAGAGGAATGAATCAGTTAACTTGAAGATTGGTCACTAGAGAAGATCCAACCACAGAGAGAGGGGAGGGAAAACGACAGAGGGTCCAAGATCTGCGGGCCAAAGTCAGATGGCCTAACCGGTTGTAACTGGAGTCCCAGAGCAGGAACAGGAGAGAATAAAGAAGAAATATTCCAAGACTGAATCGCTAAGAACTTTCTGAAATTCATGAAAGAAAATAATCCACAGATCCAAGAATCTCCGTAACTGCAAGGAAGTTATGTGGAGAAAACCACACCTGAACACATACTACAGGCCTTAAAGGCAGCTAGGGTGGAAACAGGAGATTCGTATAGAGAAGCAATTATAAGAACAATGGCTGGCCGGGCGCGGTGGCTCAAGCCTGTAATCCCAGCACTTTGGGAGGCCGAGACGGGTGGATCACGAGGTCAGGAGATCGAGACCATCCTGGCCAACATGGAGAAACCCTGTCTCTACTAAAAGTACAAAAATCAGCCTGGCGTGGTGGCGCATGTCTGTAATACAAGCTACTCGGGAGGCTGAGACAAGAGAGTCACTTGAACCTGGGAGGGGTAGGTTGCAGTGAGCCGCGATCATGCCACTGCACTCCAGCCTGGGTGACAGAGCGAGACTCCATCTCAAAAAAAAAAAAAAAGAAATATTATTTAAAAATGAAGGCATTATCAGCCAGGATACAGAAACCACACCAGCTATCTGAAGAAGAAAAACTATAAAGAATTACTAGGCCTGGTGTGTGGTTCACACCTGTAATCCCAGCACTTTGAGAGGCCAAGGTGGAAGGATCGCTTGAGGCAAGGAGTTTGAGACCAGGCTGGGCAATATAGTGAGACTCCCCCATCTCTACAAAAAGTAAAAAAAAATTAGCCTGGTGTGGTGGCGCTCACCTGTAGTCCAGCTACTCAGGAGGCTGAAGTGGGAGGATTGCTTGAGCCCAGGAGTTGGAGGCTGTAGTGAGCTGTGATCACACCATTGCACTCCAGCCTGGGCAACAGAGTAAGACCCCTTCTCTTAAAAAAAAAAAAAAAAAAAAAAAAAAGAATTAACTAGTAAAAGTTGGTTAACTACTAAAAGGGTCTTGGTTTGGTTTGGTTTGGTTTTGATTAGAGACGGGGTCTTGCCATGTTGCCCAGGCTGGTTTTGAACTCTTGAGCTCAAGCAATCCTCCTGCCTTGGCCTCTCTCTTTGTTTTTTGTTTTTCAATAAAGACTTACTTCATAGGCCCTGAAGTAGCAGGTGCGGGAAAGCAGCTTCTCTGGGTTAGGGGTGAAAGACAGTGAGGAATTAAGGCCTGACGCCTTCCCAGGCTGAGATGCAGGCCTTTCACAGCGAGTGTGGCTGCACAGGAACAGGCCTAGGCAAAGGAGCTGAGCTGGAGCTGATCTGCAGGGACAGCTGGCAGGAAGACAGGTGCCCCCAGGAGCACCCTACTGGAGTGGCTCAGGAGCAGAGCCAGTGCAAACATGGGGCATGCTGGGGTCCATCGTGCCATATTGGGCTCTTGTGCCAAATAATACTGATAGAGGACCTGACCCAAGAGGGAAGCCACCTCTCCCAGCCAGCAGCTGCCCCCTCCCAGCTGTCCCCAGTCCGTGCTGTGTATAGAGTGGTGTAGAGCCAGCCATTTCTGCCCACCTCAGCCTCAGATGGGCACTCTGCCCTGGGCCCATGGGTGTGGCAGATGCCCTTCCTCCCACAGATGCCAGGCTTGCATCGAGGCTGGCAGCTTTCCTCTGCCTGCTCCTGCTTTCTAACCCTTTTGTCCTTCATAAGTATTTCCCCAAATTTCTTGAATGTGTAAATCTATCCTGGCCTTTGATTCCTAGAGGCCCTGAAGGAACGTGACCATCACCTGGCCTGAGTGACACTGCAAAGCCCTCGTTCTTTCTAGTGGACGTGGAGCTCTCTCCAAGCGGATCAGATGCTGAGCCGTCAGCCACATCAGAGGCCAGGGACATGGCCTTCAGAGACTTTGGCCATCATGCAAAACACCTGGCCACCCTGAAGCCTCTATGCTGGAGAAATGTCTGGAGCGATCCCAGAGATGCTGACAGATGCTCAAGGACCCGGCTGCTGGAGCCTTCCGGCCAGCATGCCAGCCCTGGGAGGGAGGAAGCCTTCAGGGCGGGGTGCACCCAGCTGCAGCCGCTGCCTGACAGCAATGGCCTGACAGATCCCAGCAAGAACCACCCGGCTGAGCCCAGCCAAGCCCTGGCATGAGATCATGGCAGTAACAGATGGTAGGTGCTGCATGCTGTGAAGCTAGTGATGATGGCTACACAGCAGGAGGTCACGAGAACAACGCATGTCCAGATAACCAGTGGGTCCACCGAGGTCACTGGAAACTTAGACAGTAATTGAAACTGAATAATGAAAGTGCACTGATCAAAATCTGAGTGAAAGCAGTGCTTAGAAGGAAATTTATAGCTTTAAATGTTTATATTAGAAAATAAGAAAAGTACAAAACCACCTAAGATTTCATGTTAAGGTGCAAGAAAAAGAGCAAATTAAACCAAAGGTTAAGCAGAAAGAAGGAAATAAAACTGAGAGCCAAAATCAACAAAATGGAAAATGGCAGAACACTAGGAAAAAGGGATGGTTGTAAGTGAAGACGAAAGAGCATGTGATGTGCAACTCTCGCGTGACTCCTGATTCAAACAAACCAAAGGTAGAGATAACTTGCAATAGCACACAGCGGGGAAAAGGAGGCAGCCTCTGCCCAACACAGCCAGGAGACAGCCTCGGAAATCGGAGAAAATATTTGGAAACCATATATCTGATAAGGGGTTAATATCCAAAATACATAAGGAACTCAAACAACTTAACAGAAAGAAAACCTAGATAACCTGATTGAAAAAATAGGAAAAGGACCTGAACAGACATTTTTCTTTTCTTTTTTTTTTTTTTTTTTTTTTGGAGATGGAGTCTTGCTCTGTCAGCCAGGCTGGGGTGCAGTGGCACGATGTTAGCTCACTGCAAACTCTGCCTCCTGAGTTTAAGCAATTCTCCTGCCTCAGCCTCCCGAGTACCTGGGGCGACAGGCACCCACCACCACACCCGGCTAATTTTTGTATTTTTAGTATAGACGGGGTTTCACCATGTTGGCCAGGCTGGTCTCGAACTCCTGACCTCAGGTGACCTGCCGCCTCAGCCTCCCAAAGTGCTGGGATTACAGGTGTGAGCCACCACACCCAGCCGAGCAGACATTTTTCAAAACAAAAAATATATATATATATATA